CATGCCTGTAGTATCAGCATTTGGGAAGCTGAGGCAGGACTGGTGTGAGTTCAAGGCCAGCCTGGGTTGCATAATGAGACTCTGTCTCAAAAGAAAAAATTAAATTAAAACTGGGTACGGTGGTGCACATCTTGTCATCCTAGCACTCTGGGAGGCTGAAGCAGGAGGACTGAAAGTTTGAGCCCAGCCTATATAATTTAGCAATCTAGCTAGAACCCCATCTCAAAAAAATAAAAGGGCTAGGGAGGTAGCTCATGGGAAGGCGTTGGGTTCAACCCCCAATATGGGAAACTGAAACCCAAACCAAAACCAAAACCAAAAACTAGAAATAAACAAAGAGAAGGGTGCGCTAGGAACGCTTTTGTGAAGATTTGTGTGCTCATTCTAGGAACGTGCATCTCAGTCCCATTGTGTGACCCAGCCCGAGTCAGCCCTGAGTCCCCACATCTCCGCCCGAAGTGTTTCTGGTGGGTGTCACAGACTCTCAGCAGGTCAGCCAGCTTCCAGCTGCCACTTCCTCCCTGCCTGGGCCACCGGGAGCAGGTGGCCTGGGCTTCAAGCGGGGCTGGCATCTGCCATCACCGCTGATCTTCCTAAGCAGAACTGAGATCCCACCCATGCTGTCAGCTGGCGTGGCCCCGAGTTTTCACTTCCTGTTTCTTGTAAGGAAAATGTCCTGCTCTCTCACCAAGGGAAAGTGGGGGCCCAGCAAGGACAGGTGCAGGGTGGGGTGGCATGGGAGGGGCTCTGCTCACACCTGGGTTTGCTTGCTTTCTTTTTTTCTGTCTTGGTCTCTCTGTCTGTGTCTGCTACATCTGCCTGCTGAAGGGTTTGGGTGGAGCAGTATCCAGCCACAACTCTGAGGGAAGGAGGGTGTGAGTTTTTACCCCTGAGGGTGCAGGTCTATAATCCAAGCCCTCAGGAGGCTGAGGCAAGAAGATATACGGCAAAACTGTGCCTTAAAAAAAAAGCAATGTGAGAAAGAAGCAGGTCCCCAGGACACAGAAAGGATCTGAAGGGACAATCAAAGCCTACGGGAAAGGCAAGGCAGAGATTTCAATGAAGAAGTGGGAGGTAGCAGGTGGCACTTTCTCCCTGAGCCTGGACTACTGCATGGGAGGGACAGATGCAACCTGCAGACACAGGGCGACTACTGACCACCGCAGAGACCTCTATGGAGAAACGCACTAGTAGACCGGGGCAGCGAAGGCGGCGGACTGCGGTGGCTGGTGAGTTATTCAGGTTCAGGATCCCCCAGGAGAGGGTGACCGGCCAGGAGCCGTCTTGGAAACGAGACAACTAAGCTTGCAGCTCAGGGCAGCTGTGGGCTCCTAGAATCAGGTCAGGGAGCTGAGTTCAAATTGGCAGGAGGTCAGGGAGCTGGAGGGGATGCATGGATTGCTGCATGCTGAATGAGTCTGGTTCCAGCATCACAGTCAGAAACCAGTCTGAACGTCAGTGGAACGAAAGACGTAGGCTTGCCGGGATAACCTGCTACCCCAGGAGTGATCAGATTTGAATCTGGACTCTGACAGAGTCTTCCTCTCTTTCCTTCCTGTCTTCTTCATCAATTTCCCAAAGTTTGTTTGATCTTCCTTAGTCCTTTGGTCAATCTTCGAATGTCTTCCTCTTCTTCTCTTTCTCTATTTTTCTCCCAACCCCTTTAAACTTTCTCCCATAAGGGTAAAATCCCCATACTGAGGGAGAATTACAGTATACAATTTTCCAGTTTGCTTTAGATTTTGTTTATAATCACATCTAGTTCATATGGTTAAAGGTGGCAAATTAATAGTTACACAGTTTTAATAGTTATACAGTTTGTCATTTTCTAGGGTGTATTTGATGCTATTGTTATTGCTGATTGTACTATTTTAGTCAACGTGATGTAATTGCTCTAATCAGTAGTTCTTCCTGGTGTGCCAAGACTTCGATGGCCTAAGGGTCCTAAACAATAGTATAGGCCAGTGCCAAAGAGTCAGGGGCTAACCCTAATGGGCAGCAACTTCTCATCCCCAATAAATTGAAGAGGTAGGATCATTTTACCCCCACTTTTAAAAATGGGTACATACAAGTTATACATAGTGCTCACAATCATAGGAAATTTGTACCCATACATGGTATAACTTCATTTTTTCCCCAAGCACCCATCCTTTCAAGAAAGATCTTGCAACAGACTCAAAGCCCAAATCCAGCTATACCTGGAAGACATCTATAAGAAGCAGTCATTTCCTGAGGGTTCTAAATACTAGCAATAAAGCTATCTGTTGTAAGTAATGTAGAAGCATGAACCCAGGAAATAAGCTAAGATAATAAAATAGAGAATGAGAAAGACACTTATCCAAGATACAACCCCAGAGTTCCAGCTCACAGAAGGCAAACACAGGCAGAAGTGAGGTTGGTTAAGAAATAGGGCTGTCTGGAAAGTCATTCAGACATGGTGGAGCCCTCAGAGATGGAGTTAGTGTCCTTGGGAAAGAGGATGAAGGGGTGGGTGCTTCTCTGGCACGCGAGGACACCACCAAAGGGGCCATCTTTGAAGCGGAGAGTCCTCACTGGACACCAAATCAGCTGGCACTTGATCTCAAGTTTCCCAGACTCTAGACCTATGAGCTATAAATTCTGTTCTTTAAAAATTATCCAATCTAAGGTATTTTGCGGTAGTATCAGAAATGATCTCAGATAGATGTTACTCACAAATTATTGCAGAAAAATTGCAACCATTACTTAGTTGAGTCTCAAGTGGGTGCCAAATGCTGTGGTTTAATATTGGGGTTCATCCACTAGCGTTACCATGGAAACTCTAGGAATAAGCTTGGGTTCCCTCCAAGAGTGGAACTCTGGGTCCTTACTTGAAGCTTGGAAAAAGTACTCAGACTAAGAATCTGTCATGCCACAAAATACCCAACACCCATAATTGAAGGAGGAGAGGGTTAAGTTTGGCTCATGGTTTTCAGAGGGTTTGGTCCATGGCTGACAGGCTTCAAGGTAGAAATGGCATGATGGAAGGGCTTGGGGGAGGACAGCTGTTCAGTCTGTGATAGCTGGGAAGCAGAGAGACCAGGATAAGCCTGAGTAAGAGACGCAAGCCCCCTACAGCACTGCACCTCCAGTCTCCCAACAGCATATTCACCCTGAACTCATCTATGTGTGGATCCACTCTTGAGTGTAGCACTGCCAGGATTCCATCATTTGAAAGTCCCACCTTAAACACATGAGATTTCAGGGACACATTTTAGACTTAAACCATAACACAGAGATCTAAAAGGTCATCATCTCATCTGACACTCTCCTTTAACTGTGCAATACATTCATTTAGGAGATTCTCTCCACCATCGGCCCCTGTAAGGCCAGAACATCATGGCAGAGGACCTGGTGGAGTGGAGCTGCTCAGTTCATGGTGGCCAGGAAGTGGCGTAAGAAGCAGCACCAGAGAGGGGAGGCTAAGGGCCCAGAAGTGACGGTTCCGTGACCCACTCAGCCACACCAAATTGACACAAGCAAGCTTAACAGTCACAGGATACCAAAGAACTTCTGTGACACTTTGCAAGACTATCAGATAATTTGTGAGACCTCATACAAAATGAAAATAGCAGCTTCTTTTTTTTTTTTGTCTTTTTCATTTTTATCGGTACCGGGGCTCGAACTCACGACCGCCTGCTTACAAGGCAGGTGCTTATGCCGCTGAGCTAAATCCCCAGCCCTGAAAATAGCAGCTTCTTTTTCAAAAAGCATTCAGAACTTCAAAGCCCTCTGCAGATTCAGACGCTCTTGGCTTTGGTTACCCTCCTATGAAGGTTTGAGTCACCCAGCCATGACGCTGGCCCAGCTGCTGCTGTTGGAGGCGGGCCTGCAACTTGGTCTCAGTTCTCTGCCTGGCCTGTTCAGGTTGGGGACCCTGAAACTTCCCAGGGACATTTACCCCTTGAGCTCTGTGGGGATCCTCAGCAGCTGAGGAACCTTATCCCCTGGGCATTGAAGAGGATGTCACCACTTCTTACCCACATCCCCCAGACTTGATGGTTTCTAGCTTTACCAGTATACTCAGAGCAGAGCCAAGTTTATTTTCCCTAGGAGCTGAGAGAAGCAGGAAAGTTGTTTTTGCAGAGCTCTCCGGAAGGTCAACACAAGGACATTCTTTCATGCTGTTTACAGGACGCACTAGCAGGGAGCCTCTGTTTGCACCCCACACCGCTGTCCCCTGCCCCTACCCTGTGCACATCTTCAGCAGCTGTCTCAGGCATGGGGCTTGATTTAGGGAAGCCAGAGCCAGGGAGAAGAATGGAGGTGAGCGGACAGCTCCCGAGGGGTGACCAAATGAGAGTGGGTGCTGAAAGTTACCCCAGAAAAGTCAGCACTGCATCACTGCCAGCTCAGTCAACCCAAGCACGTTGTTAAACACATGGTGAAGCTGGGGGTGGCACTGCATGCCCATCATTCCAGCACTCAGGAGGCTGAGGCAGGAGGATTGCTATGAGCTCCAGGCTGGCCTGGGCTCCATAGTGAGTTCAAGGCCAGCCTGGACTACATAGTGAGACCCTGTCTCAGAACAAAATGAAAACGAAAACACCTCAATCCCCTCCACCCACCACCCACCGCCCCAAAAAACATTGTTAAGATGATTGAACGGAACTTATTTTTGAGTGGTAATATATTCTTTTTTGTTTGTTTGTCTGTCTGTTTGGGACAGGATCTCACTAAGTAGCTCAGGCTGGCCTGGAACTTTTAGTAGTGATGGGTGTGTGCCACTACACCCAGCTCACGGAGGTAATATATCCTTATGGTTCAAACTCAAATTACAAAAATCATCTTCCCCCTTCTCAAATAATCTAGCTTCCCTCCTTGGAGCCATCAGAACTAGTGGTTTTTTTTTTTTTTTTACCCTAGCAGAAATGTTTTTTATATAAACAGTGAATAAGTATCTGCCCTCCCCCTCCTTTTTTTTTTTTTTAAACCATTGATAGCATACTTTAACGCTCTGCCTTGCTGATTGGGCTTCATAGATCCAGGGAGGCCTGGCATGATCTGTGAAATCCCAGCACTTGGGAGGCCGAGGCAGAAGGATCCCCGGGAAGTTCAAGGCCAGCCCGAGATGTCATCTCAGAAACAAAACCAAAGTCTCTCCAGGTAATCTCTCGCAGGAGATTGGGAAGAGCTCTCTCTTCCTCCTCTAGGTTTGCAGGCAATGCCTGGCACAGGTGCATCCAGATTCCTGTCAGCACGTGAACCCCTGGCCTTTCCTTACCATGATCTATGGCATGAGGCATCGCTGAGGAGTGAGATGCTTAGGAGCCTCTCCTGGTTCCTTCAAGGACAGTGTGGGACTCACCCTCACATCCTCACTCACTGGTGCAGTGTGCAGGGTCCCACATTTCCTGGACATCCATGGTTCAGCTCTCTGTGGATGCAGATGCCCTGGCACAACTTTGGGGATGCAGCAGTGCCCTGGCCGCCCTGCTCCTGAGGGATGTGGTGTTGCTGGTGTCCGGTGGGGAGGTGACCAACAATCGGGAATCCGAAAGAGCCAGGTTTGGTGGCACACATGTGGAATCCTGGTTCTTTGGGAGGATGAGTCAGGGGGGCCTCAAGTTTGAGCCCAACCCTGTCAACTTAGTGACTTAGCAGGACTCTGTCTTGAAATAAAAAAGTCTGCTCTCTGATCTGCTATTTGGGTCCTATTTTTACCAGAACGATTAAACAAAGGGGAAACCATCAAAAACCACTAGGAAGCCTGACAGGGTGGAGCAAGAGGCAGAAATGAGTGTGTGCGGTTTGTGGAGAGTGTGATAAAAATATAGTCAGAGCAGAGTCCAGCCAAGCAGCTCTGGAACACAGGCGCGACGGCAGGGTCTTTGGGGACAGGGCATTAGGAGGGGACTGGAGTCCAAACAGCCTCCCTGGCCCTGCCTGATCAAGAGAAACAACGCCAAAAGAGCTCAGAGTCTTTTTCCCTGGAAAGGGCTGGGCCTCCTCTTGCTTTGGAGCTGGGCGTGGACTTCCACAGGGTGGAGCAGAGCCCGCTGGGCCCAGCTGAAAGCAGCTTCCTGGGGTCCTGAGGCTCCTGAGGGCTTGCGGTGGCCCAAGGAGGTTCTAGGCAAGGACAAAGGAGAGCTGGCCCCTCCCAGAGCCCATATGCCCTCTCCTCCAGAGGCCAGTCCATGACAAGAGCCATCTATCACGTGGAGCTCCTGGGCACTTGAAGTGTGGCTGCTGGGTGTTGTGATGCGTGGTATCCCAGCACTCTGGGAGGCTGAGGCAGGAGGATCCCAAGTTCGAGGCCAGCCAGGTCGATTTAGTGATTTAGCAAGACCCTTCCTCAAATTAAAAAATAAAAAGGGCTGAGGACATAGCAGTGGATACCTAGGGCTCAATGCCCGGTACCAAGAAAGCAAAACAACCCTGCCTGCAAAGGAAATGAAAAAGAAATGTGCTATAGGCACATACATGCCTTGAATGTTGAAGGCTTTCAAAATTCTTAGGTGTGGTGGCACACACCTGTAATCCCAGGACTTGGGAGGCTGAGGCAGGAGTATCATTGTAGCAACCTGGGCTACATGCTAAGTTCAGGGCCAGCATGAGCTACTACAGAGTGAGACACTTTCTTTAAAAAAATTAACTTTTTATCTTGGGCTGGAATGTAGCTCAGTGGTCACATAATATTCTAGATGTAATGGGATAAAGAAAACATATTATTACATTTCGTTTTGCTCATGTCATTTTTATATTTTCAATGCAGTACCAGAAAAGTGGTTTTCTTCCAGTGCCAAGGACAGAATCCAAAGCCAGGACCCTGCCCAGCAGCATGAGCCACCTTCCCACCCTGAGGAATTAGGGTGCTGTCCATGGGGGGAATCACCCCAGTCTCAGTCTCCATCAGAGGCTGGGCCAGGCCTGCAGGGGTCTTGGAATATAAACTGGAAGGTGTCACTAGTTTAAAATTTTATTTTCTTTTTTCTATTTTGGTTGTTAATTTTTTTTGGTCAGAAAGCTTACTTGAAAAGTTTAGGGAGAATGGGTGTGGGAGAAAACAGCTCCGCAGGGTGAACTTGGGCTGAACAAAGAAAAATAGGATAAAAGCAAAGATGAAAACACACATTGCACAATAGCCCTTTTTACTTTGTCTCTCTTTTTTTCTTTTGGTTTTTGGAGACAGGGTCTTGCTGTGTAGTCAAGCCTGTTCTTAAACTCATTCTGTAGCCCAGGCTGGCCTTGAACTCACAGCAGTCCTCCCAGCCTCAGCCTCCTGAGTGCTCGGATTACAGGCATGAATCCCTATGCCTGGCTCTCCATTTCTACTTTGTTTATTTCAGGGGACAGGGTTTTACTATGTAGTTCAGGCCAGCCTTGAACTCACTGTGTAGCCCAGGCTGGCTTTGAATGTGCAGTGATCCTCCTGCCTCAGCCTCCTGAGTGTTGTACCACCACCCCCAGCTAACTATTTTTATTATTTATTTATTTATTTATTTATTTATTTTTCTGTGGTACCAGGGATCAAACTCATGACCTTGAACTTGCCAAGTGCATGCTTATGCCGCTGAACTAAATCCTCAGCCCCTAAATCTTTTTTTTTTAAACAAAATTCATCATTTTGTTGGCTCAGTAACAGAAGCCTAGCATTCTTTGGAAAGTGAGGCTCAGTGGGTTTGCTGTGCTGGGAGATGGGTCCCGAAGTTTGGGATGGGGCTTCATGTTTTTCTCCACTCAAAAATTCCTACCTCAGGGCTGGGGATTTAGCTCAGTGGCATAAGTGCCTGCCTTGGAAGCAGGCAGTCGTGAGTTCGATCCCTGATACTGATAAAAAGGAAAAAGACAAAAAAAAAAAAAAAATCCTACCTCAAGCTCTCGGCTTCATGCATGTTTGAGAGACTGTGGATCCAGCAGGAAGCAAATGAACGCTGCTGTCAGAGAAGAGCATGCTTGGTTAGGAACCACAAAACAGACTCTAAGGCCCCATGAGGAGCCTCTGGGAGGCAGAGGCAGGAGGATTTTGAGTTTGAACTCAGCTTGGGCAACTTAGCAATTTCATGAGTCACCATCTCAAAATAACAAAATGAAAAAAGGGCTGTTGATGTACTCAGTGTAGAGGCACTGGGCCCAATTTCCAGTATGGAAAAAAAAAAGTACAAGAAATGCAAGATAAGGAACAATGTGAAAAGGTTCGTGACAAGGAGAAATGTAAGGCAAATTGGGGGTTTGGTTTGAAGGTGGTCTTAGAGGCTTCACTGAGAGGTGACATTGAGGCCAAACATAGCAGGTGACAGAGCGACCCTGGAGGGTCCCAGAGGAGCAGGTGCTAGGTCCTTGCAGCAGGACACCTGGTCTGATGTGTTTGGTGACTACAAGAATCTTTGGTAAGGGGGGATTTGGAGCTTTGGGGCCTGACCCCATCCCCTGGGATCACAGCAGGGCAGACGCCAGGCAAGAGACACATGCCAGAGGAGGGATGCAGGGTGCCACTCCAGGGCATTAGGGAGGAGTCGCCTGGTGGCTTTTGGGTTCCAAGGGAGCAATTCCCAAGGTGGGCCCTGACCTCCTAGCCCCATGCTGGGCTCCTGGGTCGCCAAGCAGCTCTGTCCTGCTGCTGTCCCTGTTGTCACTGAGCTCTCTCTCTGCCCAACACCGCCCCACCGAGGGGACTAGCTTGGGAGCCCTTTTCAATAGTGTCTAGCACAATCCATGAGGCTCATTAATTATGTTACTTTGTGGTATTAGCATTGAACCCAGGCCTCAGCACTGAACTACACCCCCAACTATTTTTATTTTTAGAACAGAGGTGCACTAAATCAATAAATTGCTCACACTGTGCTTGAACTTGGCTATCTCCTGCATTGGCCTCCTTAGTGGCTGGGATTGAAGGGGACTTTGCAGATGTAAACTCATTCAATCTGATTTATAATAAAGAACTTAAGCTTCACTTACAAAATGGCTTGGATTTGGTGTTGTTGTTGTTGATAGTTTTCGAAATAGGGTCTCACTGTGTAGTTCAACCTGGCCTTGCATTCACTATGTAACCCAGGCTAGCCTCAAATTTGTGGCAATCTTCCTGTCTCAGCCTCCCAAACACTGGGATTATAGGTGAGCACCAAGATGTTGTAATGAAAGTTCTTTAAGACAGTGGCATTTTTCTCCTTCACAGTTCCCTGCTCTTCCCTGTCTTCTGCCTTTTCCTCTTCCTTTTGTATTTGTTGTTTTTTTGAGACAGGGTCTAGCTAGGCAGCCCTGGCTGGCCTTGAACTCATGGTGACCCTCCTGCCACAGCCTCCCAGTGTGGGGATACAGTGTGCATGGCCACGCTTGGCACACTGATGCGCTTGTCTTTCCCGCGGCAGGGAGAGGGAGAGCTGTAACTCGTCTAACATTCTTTTTGCAGGAAGGCAGAGAGGAGACCTCCAACCCTCCACCCTGGCTGCACACTGCAATCAGGAACTTCTCAGTTTAATACAAATTTCCAGGATGGGAGCTGTGCCATGATTTTCAAAAAGTTCCCAGGTATCTGTTTATGTGAATGAACAAACACGTGGTTAACTGTGATAATTTTCTGCTTAATAGGTGCACATCTTTCCCAAGAATACTCTTTTTTTTAACTCAAAAAGAACAAAACACGCATGTTTATGCATATAAAAATAGTTAAGATAGTCACACTACTGATTTCCCTGAGTTCGTTGAAGAGAAAGATATGTGCTGGTATCGTTTGGACAACTGAATGCAGATGTCTTGTGCTTTGGCTGAATGATTTGGGGATGACAATGTGTGTACCATTGTTGCCCCCAGTGTTTTGAAATTTTGATTTAGTTTTTTTTTTCTTCTTCTTAAAATAAAATGGATTTGGAAAATCCATTTGAAAAATAAATGAAAAGAGATGTAGGATTTTCTTCTGCTGGATGATCATTGAGATAATCTGCAAGATCTGCGTGGGCTCAGGATTGGCTGTAACACCGCAGCCTCGACCATGGGCCAGTCGGGGTGACAGGGCTTCGTGTCTAGAAACTGCTCCAGGGATTGGGAACAAAGGCCTCTGTGTGTATTGTGTGTGTGTGTGTTTGGTTTTTGTGTAGGGGTGTGTGTGTTTGTAGGTGTGTGTGTACGACGGGGCAGAGACAGTGAGAAAATGATAGCACCAAGGCAGAAAAACCTTATCAATCGTTTGGGGAACGGTGGGGGAAGGACACTAATTCTTGTTTTAGACTTGCAATTTTTTGGTAAGTCTAAAATTATGCCAAATAATGAAAAAAAAAAAACTTTTACAAGGCCTTTAAAAAAAAAGGGAGCCTAGCAGGTTCAAAATTTCAAATATAATAAAACCTTTCTCTGTTTTTGTAAAAACAACGCAGAAACCAGTAGGAGAGACCGCCCTCCCCAGCCGGCTGCAGAGCCCGGTAGGGCTCGGGGCTTCCGACAGGGGGCGCTGCAGCACCGCAGAGCCGGGCTCCCAGGACCAGAGAGCGGGCAGGGCCGGGCTCTCAGCCGTCTCTGCGCAGAGGTGAAACAGCCGGGATGGCGCTACTTGACGCCTGTGGCGCGCGCTCTTCTGCGCTGTTTAGACCCATGGCCCCCTCGCCTGCGCTCCAGGTGTGCAGCAGAGGAGCCGGGAAGTCTGTTTCAGCGAAAGCTGGAGGTGTGGTGGCTCATGCTTGAGATCCTAGCCCTGAGAGGCTGAGGCAGGAGGATTGCTGGGAGTTCGAGGTCATCCTGAGCTGCAGCGAGACACCCTGTCTCAAAAACACAAACAAGCAAGCAAAAATGGTAGTTGCAGAGCAAATAGGTTAACTGATTCAGCCGGAGGATCTGGTGAAGCAAAGGAGCAGATCAGAGGTTGGTTGGGAAGGAATAGGGCTCAGGCACTCCCTAAATCCTCTACTGTTCCGAAGGCAGCGGGGAGGCCACTCTTCAGCGTGCTTTCTCGCTATGTAGCTGAGGTGATCCTTCTGCCTCAGCTTCCCGAGCCTTGGGATGACTGATGCGTGCTGCTATGCCCCCCTTTTGTTTCTTTTCATGGTCCTGGGATTGAAACTGAGCCTTTCATACTGCACTACATCCCCAGCCCTTTCTTTTATTTTGCGATAGGATTTCTAAATCTTGGTTGCCTAGGTGGTGCTCCAACCTGAGAGCCTCCTGCCTTGGCCTCCTAGATTGCTCAGATCACAGGCATGTACCCCCAACCCCAGCTTGAAGGTTTTGAATCTCTGAAGGCTAGGTGTGCTTAATTAGTAGGAGTAGCTGCAGGACGGGTTACGGAGCAGGCCCCCAGGTAGCCGGGGGTTAAATTGTCCACTGGAAATCCAGCCAGGTGCAGAGCGATTTATTTCCAAACTAAATAAACCACCTGCTTTGACCGCAGAATGACACAAGGACAACTCGGCTTCTGGAGATGTTATCCGTGGCTGGGACAGCCTGGGGTAGGGGGCAGGGCCGCCTGGGCACTGGAGTGGGAACCAGATGGCCCTTAGGTCCCCAATGGCTCCAGCTTGCGTCAGGTAGAGGGCAACCCTGCTGGGCTCAATCCTTCCAGGGTTAATTGGCCAGCCTTTGGCAGGATTTAGGAATTTAAAAGTTTTCATCGAGAAGGGATCCAGGCCCTTTTCACTTTCCAGATAAAGAAAAGGAGATTAGAGAAGGGAAGTCCCTGCCCAAAGCCTGAGGCCGGAAGGGCTTTCTGTCCCCAGAGCGGGTTCACCCAGAGTCAGGGCCTCCAGCCTGGAAGGTACAGGGAGAAAGAGTTTTCTCATGGGAGGAAATAAATATTGTGGGGTTTTGTTTTTTCTTTATAAAAATGTGTTTGAGACAGGGTTTTGCTATGTAGTCCAGGCTTGAACTCACTGTGTAGCCCAGGCTGGCCTCAAATTCATCAGCAATCCTCCTGCTTCAGCCTCCAGAGTGCTGGGTTTCCAGATGTGACATTGTGAAGAGGGCTTTGGAAGTGCTGTGACATGAGGAACAGGGGTGTATTGGATTGTTCCTTGGCTGAAACTGCCTGCTTAGCTTAGCTGGGGTCTGGATTAATTCTTGCAATGACCTTTCATTTGGTGCTGCCAGCTAGTCTTGCTCTTAGTACTGGCACCTCAGCTGTGAAACAGTCCTTGAAGTTGTTGCCTGGTGAACAGCGTGTGTGAGCGTGCATGGGTGTTTGTGTAAAAGAGACACAGGAAGTTGTCAGGGATGGGAGTGTGGCTGACTATGTAAATAGGGGGATACAGAGGACCTCAGTGGGATAGTGACTCAGATTCCATGTACACTTATTTTTTAAAAAGTTTTTTGAAGAAACATCCTGCCAGGTGTGGCGGTGCACCCCTGCAACCTCAGCACCCACGAGGCTGAGGCAAGGGGGTGGTTTCTAGTTCAAGGCCAATCTAAGCCACATAGTGAGACCTTGTCTCAAAAACAAAACAAAAACCCCCCAAAACTATCTGTTCCTGGCACAGGCGACATTGTGGGTTGGGGTGGCTGTCGTTGATGCTGTGGCTCAGAGCAGAAGCTGTAGAACTGAAACTTCTATTGTCAGCACTCTCAGATCATCAGATATGACTTTATGCTTCCTTCTTCAAACCCGGTCTGAGCCAGAGGCTTCAGGGTCGGAAGAGGCAATGAGTGCAGACTCTCTTGCTCTGGGCTTGTGGAACTCACAAAGAGATAGAGATGTGATGGTGCATGCCTGTCATCTCAGGAGGCTGAGGCAGGATTTCTGTGAGTTCCAGGCCAGTCTGGGCTACATAGTGAAACCTTGTCTCAAACAACAACAACAACAAAACAAAGTGTTCTAGTTTTTGAGCTCTCTTTGGTGATGGTGGCACTGAAAACTGAATGCAGTGCTGGGCATAGTGACTCACGCCTATAATCCCAGCACTCAGGAGGCTGAGGCAGGAGGATCGTTGTGAATTCGAGACCAGCCTGGGCTACAAAGTGAGCTCAAGGCCTGCCCAAACTGCATAGAGACCCTGTCTCAAAAAAAGACAAAAAACAAAACAAAACAAAAAACAAAACACCCCAAAACAAAACAAAACAAAAAAACCCCAAAACTGCATGCAGTTTGGTTGTCAGGCTGGCATTCACTTGGTGACCCTAAATAGCAGTGACAATCACAGCTAACATTTGTTGAGTCTAAAAGCTGGTGAGCCGAGTGTGGTGGCAGACACCTGTAATCCCATAACTCTGGGAGGCTGAGGCAGGAGGATTGCTAGGAGATCAGCCTGGGCTACAAAGTGAGTTCAAGGCCAGCCTGAACCAGTCTCTCGCAAAAAAAACCAAAAGAAAAATATAAAAAGCTGATGACAAGGGGGAGGGTAGCTAAATCTTGGGGTGGAGCTAAAGCAGAAGGGAGGCGTATCTTGCATTTAATTATTCCAACATCCAGTCAGGTCCCTGCGTTCCTGTTTTGCAGTGAAGGGCGGAGCTTCAAGCCACGCCCCCCCAGTGAGCATGCGCATTCACGCATTCACCTCAGGCCTGCAAGCAGGCTCCCATGTAGTTGTGGGGGTAACAGCAGTGACTTCAGCCCTGCTTTCTGTTTCCGCGGAGGAGAAGCCATGGGAGTACAGCAGCAGTACTGTACTCCCACTCACGGAAGTGGAGTTCTGTTCCCATCTGTGCCTGGGTCTGGGACGCTCACCAGGCCGGGCTTCCTGCAAACCAGGCAGCTTTGCCCCTTTCCTCTTGAACCAGGGTGACTCATCGCTATCTTACCAGGGGACGTCACCCCCCAGGAGTCAGGAGGCCGAGGCAGGAGGAGCACTGAGAGTCTAAAGGCAGTACAAAGTGAGACCCTGTCTCAAAAAGCAAAAGCAAACAACACCATGCACATACACACTTAAAATAGGGCAGCTAAGCTTGCAATCAATCAGCGAATCCTATCACCTACCTGCGGCCTTGATGTCTGATGGGGTCCCTGGGAGGAAAAACATTTTTGGAAGATGGGAGGCTGTGAATATTAGTAATGTCTGCGTATTTATTTATTTTTTGAGACAGGATCTCCAATGTAGCTTAGGCTGGTTTTTTTGTCTTTTTCCTTTTTATCGGTACCGGGCCTCAAACTCAGGACTACCTGCTTGCAAGGCAGGCGCTTCTGCCGCTGAGCTAAATCTCCAGCCCCTTTACACTGGTTTTGAACTCACAGGGATCCTCCTGCCTCAGCTTCTCAAGTGCTGGAATTATGGGGATTCCCCACCATAGCTGGCTATTACTTGGGTATTTTAAAATCAAGATGAACTATGAGATAGGATCAAGGTACAGTTAGAGACTGGAGTACAGCAATTAGTTTAGAGGGAGGTGTAGCTGTAGAGATTGTTTTGTTTTTGAGACAGGGTTTTACTATGTAGCCTGGCCTTGAACTCACTACTTAACCCAGGCTTGTCTCCAACTCTTAGGGATCCTCCTGTTTCAGCCTCCTGAGTTCTAGATTACAGGAATGTACCATCAGGCTAGTTGGTAGAGATTATTTATTTATTTATTTTTTTGGTCTTTGCCCTTTTTATTGGTACCAGGGATGGAACTCACAA